TAAGACAATTGCATGTTTTCCCCATTTAATTATCAAAATGTCATACAAAAATGAATTATAACACTAATGGAATTGACGGTGGTCATCTTCTGGGTTGCTGAGTAATCATTGCCCTGATGATCGAGGCGGCACCACCTCTCAAACGTCAATGAACTTATGCCAGACTACATGGTGCAACAACCGATAAGACAGCCATCATCATGCTTGCTGCCATGAGAACCTCAAATCTCACTTAGTAATGGAATTGTAAAATATTTACTGGTCTTTTTTCTCTGTACAAATTAGTTAAGGACACTACTTTAATTTAATGTAAGTTTTATTTTATTTCTATCTTCGCATTTTTGTATTGTTCAAATCAGGACACCTCTCACGAGATGGTCGTAGCTTGTTGCCGATTCCTGTGCCACTTCTGCAGGACTTCTCGTCAGAACCAGAAGGCTATGTTTGACCATTTTGCATTTCTTCTGGAGAATAGTAACATTCTTCTCTCGCGACCATCTCTGCGTGGCAGTACGCCTCTGGATGTGGCTTATTCCTCACTCATGGAAAATACTGAATTGGCTCTTGCACTTAGGTCAGTACTCTTGATTAGCCTTCTGCCTTAATCTTAAGTTCGCTTTCATGATACAGATCGTGCCATGAAATATGGCAGATACAGATTAATGTATTGCTTAGTGGATGACTTAGATTGTTTGGATTCTATAGACAGCATACTGCGACAGTTATTTGAATATAATTATTTGAAAATTTGTCATTCATATGATTCTATGTGAAGCATATACTTGTTTTTCAGAGAACATTACTTGGAGAAAATTGCCATCTATCTTTCCCGTTGTGGTTTGCAATCCAACTCTGAGCTTGTTGAGAAAGGATATCCAGACTTGGGATGGGATCCAGTGGAAGGAGAGAGATATTTAGATTTCTTGAGATTCTATGTCTGGGTCAATGGTAATTAAAATTCTTATATCTTTTCTGTATGAGAAACATATGAAGAGCCCTATTCATAGATAAAAAAAGTCAACTCTAATGACCTTAGTTAACATTATCTTCTCTTCCATTTGTATGCGAATTCGGTTTTTGGCTTCTCTTTACGTACAGATTTATTTAATTGCATACTGTGAACGCATTTATTGCAAATATTAAAAGAGCATGATTCTATTTAATTTTGATTAATTATACCAATGTATGATCTGAAGCTTTCACGGTGAGTTTGTTTAATGAATTCTTCTTAGACCCTAGAAGAATTTATTATAATTTATGGATGTTTTCTACAGTTTCATTTCATAAAACTTCTTTATTACATATGACCAAATTAATATGAACAGACGTTCAAAATATGTTGTTAAGAATAATTTTTCCTGCATCTAGCTATTACAATGTAGAATACTGTAGATGTGCTATCTGTACATAAAATAACTTACTGTAATATTCAATCATTCACAAACCCACAATACAAAGGTCAAAATTATATGAATAATGTATTTTATTTGTAGGTGAGAGTGTAGAAGAAAATGCTAACCTTGTGATCCGTCTTCTTATACGTCGCCCAGAGTGCTTAGGTCCGGCACTAAGAGGAGAAGGAGAAGGCTTGCTGAGAGCTGTCATGGAAGCAAATAAGGTTTGCTCATAAGTTCATCATATCAAGCACATATACAGCAGTCAGTGTTAATGCATTAACTAGTAATATAGCTCTTTAAATCTGTTGTATTCTGATGATACTTGACATTTGATTCAAATTACTTTATATACTGTTATAGTGTTACATGCAGCCACGGACATGATCTACTGCAGGTGTTCTCTACGTCTTGGTGCTTGTGGCATACTTGGGATATATTTTTTTAGGGGCACAATTTATAATAATTCTTTTCAACAGAAATTGTTGTTAACAAAGGGCATTACCCTCAACCCAACCTGTGTAAGAACTGAAGCTACAGTCTGAAATTTATTGTGGGGGTAGGAAGTGACAGGAAAAATTTTGAGTAACTTTGGTGTTTGTTGGTGGGTGTTCTAGCTGTTATTGTTCAAAGATGTAGAAATTTTCACAGTAGTTCTAGTCTCCCTCTCATTATGTTCCCAGAACCTGCTATAGCTATCAATCTTTTGATGTTGAAGGCTTATGAACATCATAAATGGGATGATATGATTTAATAGATTACAGCAGAGAGTAATGATCAGGTTTCAAAGTGAAGAAAAGAAAAGAAAGAGGGAGCAGAACGCTTACTTGAAAATCTGTAGTTCATTGAAAATTTGTATCATAGAGAGCACAAATGTTCTGTGCAGGGCTGTTTGTTGTAAGACCAGTATTCCAAGATGCTAATTATGAAATTATACAATTATCACATTTTGGATGTTACAAACCAGAATTTACACAGTTTTTAAACATGAATATCCAGGAGTTAATAGGACCTATTAAATATAATGACGACTGTTTTGTGTGTGTGTACATGCTTGAAATATCACTCCCCTTGAGTGAATCAATATGTTTACATTGAGAATGTTTATGAAAGAGAAGTATCAGATTTGTTTTATATTTTGTTGGTATTGTGGTTCTTTTGGTAATCGGCGAGTTTCTGTCATTCCAGATGTCAGAGCGCATTGCTGATAGGAGGAAGCTGATGGATGAAGCAGAAGGAACGATGTCCATATTACAGTTTGAACATCCACTGCCTGAGAGCGATGAAGATGAAGACTACATTGACACTGGATCTGCCATTCTGAACTTCTACTGTACTTTGGTGGATTTGCTGGGGCGCTGTGCTCCAGATGTTTCTGTTATTGCGCAGGTTATTTAACAAAATTTATGCTCTTTTTATAAAATACATTAAATGCTCATTTCATGGTGTCCTGTTAAAAGTAGTTCTCTTGTGACCTGTTACGGAAAATCCAGTGTTTCTGCCTTTGTTGTAAGCATCCGTGAAACTCCTGTGCTTTCAGCTACACAATTTTTCTCTTAACAGAGTAATGTTAAACCTGTGACTTACCAGGTGGCTGATAGCACGTAACACATTATTTTTAAATTATGCATCTTATATTTTTAAAAATGGAAAACGATTCAACAGATTGTATTATGCCTTCATTAAGGAGAAATTTTTACAGACTAGTAGTGTCACCTTACAGCCAATCTGGAAATTTTTTTAATCACACGTTATAAACTGTAAGACCAGACACTCTTGTTTTGAATGTTTTAGGTTGATACCTATGAGGACAGGAGATTAAAATGTCTGTCTGATGAAACGTTGATACCTATGAGGATAGGAGATTAAAATGTCTGTCTGATGAAAGTTATATTTTCTGACAAAGCAGTATTCCATGCCTGGGACTGCAAGCACTCACACGCATTACATTTTTTGTCTAGTCCATTTAACATACACATACAACACGTAAAAATTATTTGTGATGTAAAAGTTATTTGTGAGATGTATATATGTAGTGAGCACTCACACGCACCAAAATGCTAATTTTTCTTCACATGTAACATGAAACTGCATTTTGTATTAGAACAGACTAGAAAGCTTTGCATCTACAAAGCTTGTGGGACAGGTTAACATATCTTTCAGTAAGATGGTGTACCCTCATGTTTTGGTAACGTGCTCTGTAGCAAATACTGAATGCCAAGATACTAAATACCTGATTGTGAGAAGAGGAGGACCAATTTCTTGACTTCTCATTTCTTCTTCTTCTATGTCTCTCCGGTCCGTATTCGGTCCATGGCCTCCTCAATTCTCCTCTTCCATTCGGTCCTCTGTTAGGTCCGTCTGTCCGAGGCTTTGATCAAGGTTTCGAAACATCTTCATTTTTACGGCGCAAGGTTGTTAGCCTTGCGATTAATAATGAAAATCAAAATACAATAGGACATACGCTGTTTTCTTCATTTATGACGCATCTCTTCAGTCTTGGTCATGTTAGCCTTCCTTATCCCTTCCTGTCTGTCAGGTTGAAGAAATCTATTTCTGGAGTATCAGGATCAATGAGCGAAATTCCACTGCTTGCATCCATTAGGTTTCTTACTTTGAGATTGTGTACGGGATAAATGTTCTTCTCAAAACAATGTCTTTACAACAATTAAGAGGAAGAATAACAGAAGCTACAGTTACTATGCCAAAAGTAACTAACTGGCAGAAGTCAGCTCTTAGTTCAACATGGAATGAGTGTAACAAATACAGTGACATCTCTGTAAAAAAACATGCCGTGACTTATTTACATTGTCGCAGTTGGTACCTCGTGTCACGCGCATTTTGCGGTATGAGAAGTGACGGATGCAAAGAAATAGAAACACCAATTACTTCGGTCTTAGAGTTAAAATGTGAAACCTTTGAAACAAACAAAATAAAGCTATAAGACAATTTTTTATATCTTATATATATAATTTTGCTCAGAAACTGATAGTAATTGCTGAGTGATTACAGGATGTTGAAAGTTTTGTTTTGTTTCAGAGATATTGCTGTTTTTTATTAATAATGAAAATCAAAATGCAATAGGACATACGTTGTTTTCTTCATTTATGACGCATCTCTTCAGTCTTGGTCATGTTAGCCTTCCTTATCCCTTCCTGTCTGTCAGGTTGAAGAAATCTATTTCTGGAGTATCAGGATCAATGAGCGAAATTCCACTGCTTGCAGTGATAAGATGACAGTGAAAATTATGCCTAGCAGACACGACTTACAATTTAATATAGACAGTAGATGTTTTGGTGTGATAAAAAGGTGTGTATGTTGCTTAATCAGGTCTTTGCTTGTTAATGCCCAGGGCAAAAATGAGTCTCTTCGAGCAAGAGCCATTCTGCGGTCGCTGGTGCCTCTGGAAGACCTACAGGGGGTGCTGAGTCTGAGGTTCACCCTTACAAATCCTGCAGCAGGAGAGGAACGGCCTAAGAGTGATATGCCATCTGGTCTCATTCCTGGCAATAAACAAAGCATAGTACTCTTCCTGGAGAGAGTTTATGGTATTGAGACCCAAGAACTGTTCTACAAACTCCTGGAAGATGCGTTCCTTCCTGATCTCCGTGCGGCGACTATGTTGGACAGAGTAAGCTGTTTGCTGTACAGTTAATTAATACATTTTATTTTTGAAATCACAAATGATGGCATTTTTATTTGTTAATAAAGTTGTAAGTATTATAATTTTAGAAATGATTATGGAAAATTTTGTTCCCATAGCTCTTTCAATACTAAAATCTTAAAACCATTATTTGTAATTAATAAGTTTGTCATATATATTCTTGTTCTCTGTACTAAAAAGCGCCAATTCTGATATCGTCTAACATCAACACTGATCCTTGTCCTTGAAAAACAGAAACATATAATTGGAATTATGGGTGCGGAAACAGTAGCATTTCTTATGAAGTGTATTATGATAATTCTGTAATGAAAAGAATATTTGTAATTATGGCTGAGTTGCTGTTACATTATACACCTTAACTGATTTCAAAGATTTTCAGCTGTTAAACCATATTCATTAAGTCCTGCTTGATTTCAGAATGATGGCTATGAATCTGACATGGCACTGGCAATGAATCGTTACATTGGTAATTCCATCTTGCCACTCCTCATCAAACACTCCTCGTTCTACAATGAAGCTGATGATTATGCCAATTTGCTGGATGCCACTCTGCATACAGTGTACAGACTGTCCAAAAACAGAATGCTTACCAAGGGCCAGAGAGAAGCCGTGTCAGACTTCCTTGTGGCTCTTACCAGGTAAGTATCATAATTAAGTACGCTTATGACAGTCAGATTTAATTAAAATTGGGTGAAGTGGAAATTTACAAGAATGATGCACGGCATGTTTCTGTTGCCTCGCTTTGTTGGTTGAGCCTTTCTTATGCAACCTACTTGTAACACAGCACGAGCATACAGAGAAAGACGCTGTCAATGCTGGAGAGAATTTAATTTTGTATAAGGGCAACCTGTTCACAGGCAAATATGTTTTAGAGGTGTTCTAGTAGTTAGCACTGGCATGGTATTTAAATAGTCCTGGGTTCATTCCCAACCACTGTCACTAAGAATTAAAAAAGTTATTGAAGATCTGTCTGCATAATCAGCTGAAGGTGGGAGTAGAGCCCAACTACTGAAAAAATCACGTGTATTGAGTGTACCTCAGGCATGACCAATGTCTAACACAGTATTCCTTTAGTATTTTAGCGGTATTAAACGTTCATTTCAAAGATATTTGGTGTACCATTTCCAAAGTTTTAGGAAGATTTTAATTTTAATGTTATTGTACAAAATATGAAATGAACAAACTTGTGATTTTGGATTTTGCTTAGTGGCTGATACAGTGTTGATGTTGATAGCAAGGCAAATAACTCGTGCAGTCATACATATGAATGAACAGATTTTTTGAAATGGGAAGCACAATGTTACAAAGATGGTGCGGCGATGACAATTTGTCTTGATGCTGGCCAACAGCAAATACATTCTCAGTGTCACTGATAAAGAGGATTCTAGCTGCAAGTATGCTCTTGGGTTACCAGGTTCAAAGGTCGATAGGTATGGAACCTGAATTTTATACTGCTGTAGAAATGTCAGTCATGGATTAACATTTGTTGCTGGAAGTATGCTGAAATTTTTAAACACTGTTTTCTTTATCAGACAGTGAACACTCCATTTCGTGTTTAAAACACCTATTTCTTACGATATAATTTCTGTTACAGCCAAATGCAACCAAGCATGTTACTAAAGTTACTGAGGAAGCTTACCATTGACGTTTCCAAGCTGTCAGAGTACACCACTGTAGCCCTCAGAGTATGTATACATAGTGTGAAATGTTTTTTCTTCATCATCATATTTTGGGGAAGAACTTGTTAGTTATATGAAGATTCTTGACCATTTATATTATTACTACATAAAAATTCCAGAGTGAAAATTCACGAAAAATTTATTTTTGAAGAGAAATCTTTTTTATGTAAACTGAAGTAAAGTCAAGTATAATGAAATAAAATAAAATAGAATATACATTATTTTAATACAACCACCAAAACTAATCTTTGTTGTCTTTCGTTGTTATAATAAAATAATTTATAATGAATATACAGTGGAAATGGATTTGGATATCAAGGTAATAAGTAATTTCTGCAACATATTTAAACAATTTTCTTCAAAATTTATAAATTCAGGGCAAGGGATGTACGGCGCATCCAGTGATGAAGAGAAGAGGTTGACCATGATGCTGTTCAGCAACATCTTTGATTCTCTGTCCAAAATGGTAATTTATAGTTTCAAAATTTATCATCTGTCCATCATACTGTTCAGTGGATTCCAGTAGGATGTGTGTGTCACCCTACAGAGGCCTTTACTTGGAGCCACTTTATAAAAGTTATTTTATTCACAGTCTTGTGCGTTATTCCTTCATGTTTTATGGCTGTTTTTTGTTTTGTAGTTATCAACCCTATACACTGAGAAGTTGTATCAGGCATTCAAAATCTTGTCAGTGGTATGTGAATGTAAGCCACAAAGAATATTAAAAGATGCCAGAACAAATAATAATCCACTCATGTGTTTGTAGTTTACCATTGGTTGGTGAGTTTGAGGTGGGTTAAACCAGAACATTATAATTCTTTAATGTAGAGTCTGACCTATATTATGCATTTGTAGTTTGCTGCATGTAAAGTTTACATGAGGAGATGAGGCAGTGGGTGAATTTGAGGGGTGGGAGTGAGAATGCTATTGGAAATTTTGAATACAGGAACTGACCTATGTGATATGTTTGTAGTTTACCATATCTGGTGTCTGTAATCCGCTTGGTGGTGAGGGAATGAGGTGATCAGTATATTTTGAGGGTAGTAGACCCATAATCTGATATACGAGGCGCGTCCACAAAGTAAGTTTCCCACTCGTCCCACAGCTAGCAAACCTTATATTGCGCGAAGCGACTGTGCGTACGTGATAGAGCAATGACGTAGCATGGCGCATGCACTAACGGCACTTCCCGCGTTCTCACAGTAGCATCGTTGCAGCTGTTGAAGATGGAGGTTCTTATTCCAGCCCCCGCCGACTGTGAAGTGCGGTCAGGGATAACGCTAGGCCGCACACGGCTCAACGGACAGCAAGTCTCCTGCAGGAGTTCAGCTGGGAGGTGTTTAATCATTCACCCTACAGCCCGGACCTCGCTCCCAGTGATTTCCATCTTTTCCTACACCTCAAGAAATTCCTGTCCGGTCAGCGTCAGCGTTTTGAGAATGAAAGAGAGGCGGAGATGGTTGTCACACAGTGGTTCCAATCCCAGGCGGCAGACTTCTACGACACAGGTATTCAAAAGTTGGTCCCACGGTATGACAAATGTCTCAAATCCGGTGGCGAATATGTTGAAAAATAGCTGGACACTTGCTGTATCTGTTGCAATAAATATTTCCATGAAATTGTGTTTTGGTTCTGTAAATGGCCCCAGGGAAACTTACTTTGTGGAAGAGCCTCGTACTTAAGCGGTGATGAACTGTAAGCTTAGTAGTGATTTATGTCCGTACAGAAACATTCAAGGTACATCGATACACGAATCGTTTCGAGATTCAATTTAAAGCTATGATATACCGTAAATTGAAAAATCGAATTAAATTGCAAACTAGGACTATGCAGTCATTACAGTTTTAATTCACACAGAAGACAGTGACATATCTATTGGAACTACAGTTAGTTACTTTTTGCAAAAAACACAGAATTCGGTTCGTATTTATAAATATCGTTGTGACATCGAGTTCATTTACATTAGACTCAACAAATGAAACAAACAGAATGTTATTTTCCACGACAGACAAATTTATAATTTCACAAAAAATTCCTACCTCCTATTATAATGTTTCAAAAATGAATTGTATAATGCTGTTACTCAGCTGTATCAGTGGCAAATAGACAAAGTGTTTGTTTATCTTAGGATTATGATCCAGAGCTGTTTGGAAAAGCGCTTCCATGCTTGACTGCCATTGGTTGTGCCTTACCACCAGACTATTCTCTTTCCAAAAATTATGATGATGAATGGTACAGCTCAAAGACAGGAACAGATCCTGATGGTCCGTACAACCCACAGCCCGTAAATACCAGCAGGTATCTATTGTTTTTGCAAGTTTCTGTTCCACAGTAACAACCGCAAAAGTTACATGTTTGGACACCATTGTAAATTATTAGACATAATTTTTTAACCTTAATTTTATACATTTCTACGACCCATTACATTCTTTCAACACATGCAAGGGCAATGTGACAAATAGTTCTGTATCTTGGGGATTTCGGAAGACGAGCTACCGAATGCCATAAATAAGTGAAAATCTTATAAAACATTACTATAGAGAGAGTAAATAAAAAAGAATGTGATTGGTAAGGCTTGTAGCTTGCATTATGTCAATACCATATGCTTACAACATTTTTGTTGAAAATCTAAAATTCATAGACCACTTAGGAGACCTAGGGAAAGGTAGGAAGATTTTTTGAAAATGAATCTTAAAGAAACAGGGTTTCAGGACATGGACTGGATCCATCTGGCTCAGGAGAGGGTTCAGTGGCAGACTGTTGACTGGTATGAACATGGTAATGAACCTTAAGGCTCCATAGAAGGTGTGGAAGTGGAACGAAGTGAGAATTAGTTTCTGAAGAAGGGCTTCCTTTCCTTGGGTTAATTAATTATGGAGACTTTTGTAAGTTATGTTTCCAACATCTTTGTTTCCTCAAGTGGTCAATGTATAAAAAAATAACTTTTTTTTATTAAAGTTGCATACTTGGCCAAAAAGTAAATAAAAACAAAACTATGGTCAGAAAATCTCAGAGACCAAGTAACATATGAGACAACAATATTAAAACTGATCGGCTGTGATGTTGCAAAATATTGTGACGAGAATTTTCCACGTAATACGTGTGCTGCAAGGTCTCCTTCTCTCTCTGTCCACAACACATCTTGAGTGACATTCTGCCAGCTGGCAGAGCAATGCGCTTGCTTAGGTCTAGGCTTTTGTACCCTCCTCTGCTTTCTCAAAAATAGTAAGGCCATTTGCAGAGTAGGGAGAAGTAAGTAGACCTGCTTTCTCGAAAATTGTCGTAAGTCCATTTGCAGAGTAGGGAGAAGTAAGTAGACC